AAGTATGGTGAAAGAATACAACCCTGTCTCACACCTTTCCCAATTTTAAAACTTTCAGGTATCCATATAATGGACTATTATTCAGCCTTAGAAAGGAACATAGTGCTGATAAATGCTACAACCTGGTGATCATTATGCTGAGTAAAAGAGGCTAGACACAAAAGACCATATATTGTATGATTTCATTTACATGAAATATCCAGATTTAAGGAGCTCTGGTAGCAAAGTTGTTACGAGTCGGGCTGCACACCGTAAGGTCAGCAGTTCAAAACTACCAGCTGTTCCACAGGAGAAAGATGAGGCTTTCTGCTCCCGTAAAGATTTACAGCCTCAGAAACCCTATACAGGGTTGCTATGAGTCTGAACCGACTCCATGGCACATAACAACAACAACAATCCAGATTTAGCTAATGCATACATGAATGGTAGCCAAGGGCAGGAGGAGGGGAGGATAGAGAGATTGCTTAATAGGTGCAGGGCTTCCTTTTGAAGTAATAAAAATGTTCTGGGAATAGTGATGATGGTTTGTACATCTGCGTCCTAAATGTCATTAATGGCAACATTTATGTTAGTGTATTTTATCATAATTTAAAAAATGTAAACATAATTTTACAAATTATTTCAAGCCAGTAGGATCGAATGGAGCTATCTTTCTTTCCTTGTTTAGGGTTAAAATTCCTGTCTCCTCCACATGGAGGCACAATGCAATCAACTAAAAATTTCTAAGGTATTAATCATTAGTATTTTAATTATGATGTACAAAGCTAGCCCTCTTCAGCACACATTTGCCTCTAAAGTAATCAGGCTTCCAAAATGTGGACTTTTTTTTTTTAATTCAAATTAACAGTTGCAAATCAAACAGAGACTCCGACTAGGCAGGCCTCTTTGCTTATTTATTAAACATACCACTTGCTCTGGGCTTCCCATCCTGATGCTGTCTAATGACAAAATTAAACACTTTTAATGATCTAGGCCCCGGGTCCTTTCTGGTCATATTAAATGTCACACTCTATTGACCTAGCTGTGTTGCCCATGTAGGATCTACCCCTCTGGATGTACCCCTTAAAGGAAATCAATTCTGAGGAAACTCTGGCCTCATTGAACTCAAATCCTCCTTCTAGTCCTCCTGAATTAAGTGAAAACATTGGGGTTTTTTCAGCCGGCTTTGAGAGCACATGAGTTTCCACTTTCCCCTGTTCATTCAAAAATGACCAAGTCTAAATTGAACATTGCCTCCCTTCAGCCATACTGGATTTGTCAGCTTCGTTCAGCTGAAAAGGCTGGATTGGAGCTCTGCCACATTACGAGACAAAGTCAGGTCCTTCTTAGAACATCTCCATTTGTGATGCCAATGAGCGCTCACAGCTACCACTGCCAATTGGCATCCTGGACTGGCAGTGGGAAGAAGAGTGGAGACTGCCCCACCTCACGCCCACAGGGTGTTCTGAGAGCTGAGGGAATAGGAGACTCACTCAGGTAGAGAACAGGACCCAGGAAAAACTTGCTCCAAGTTAGTCCCTGAATTAACTATCCAAACCAGACCTCTTCCCACCCTCACCTCCACAGGCATGCTCACCAATGACGCTGCGGACACAGTTCTCCTTCTTGGCAATGTTCTGGAGCTGGCCTGTCAGAGACGTGTTGTCGTTGCCCAGAGCAGCAAGGCCCATGTTTTCAAGGCTTTCCTGGATTTCTTGAGATACCTGTTCACTCACAGTCAGCATAGCTTCCTCAGGCCTAGAGTGTGATTGACAGGAAGCTGGCACCCACCATGAAGCCCTGGCACATCAAAAGCTAGGGCTCCTCCCGCCATCTTGGGTGAGACCAAGCAGAGGAAGGATAGGAGCGGCCACAGACTCCTGGCAGAACCGCTGAGATAAAGGTGTGGACATTCTTTTCTTTTGGTAGCTGTTCATTGGTCCCTTGTTGTCTACGCACCTTCATTCTGGTGACTATAGGAGTGCCTGAGCCAGTGGACACCCCAGCCCCACCCGGAGCGTTCTACTACGCATGCGCACAGATCTCCTCGAAATTTAAAGAGACAGTTTCCAATTAAAACCAAA